GAAGTAAGTAAAATTGGACAGAGATACAAGATAAACTGTGGTCCAGGCCTTCCAAAGCCACAGCCAACCCAACAGGGATCTTGGGAAGGAATATTGCTGAGTATAGCCTAGCATGAGAGAATCGAATCCATGAGAGCCTCAGATTTAAAGGCACTTCTTATGCAATAAATGTTCTTCTCCATGGGTCTTCCTGGGTATTCTAGAGTTTGGGGACAGGGTGGGAACTGAAAAAGGCTCCTTCTTGGTGTGTGCCTGGAGAAAGAGAGAACAGCCAGAAAGACACACCCTACTCAGAACTTTCTCCCCATATCTATTCAATGGTACAAAATCCTTAATCTGCTGGTAGAGAGGCAGCAAGTCTGACTGCCTTATTCAGCTAGGAGAAGGTAAAAAAAAAAAAATTCTAACCCTGTGAGAAAGGCAAGGAACCAACCTGAATTTAGATCATTAGAAAAGTTTACCTTTAGGTGAAGTTGCAGTCACTCCTGAAGTGCTAGCTTAGAGACCCAGCAATGCAGGGCCTGACTGAGACCCAGGATGAGCCAGGACAATGGAGAATGACCCTGCCTACCTATCCCAGGCTAACAAGCATCAAATAATAACAAACTTCTAACAGTCAAGGAAGAGAAAAAGCATAGAAAGACCTTATATGGCACAGGCTGATGCAGAAAAAAATCTAAAGCTGAGGGTGGAAGAGAATCATTGAGAAGAATTCTCCAGCAATCCTGTTTACCCCCTAACCACAAGAGAACATTAGAGCAAATCACTGAGAGTAATGATACAACAAAATAAACCAGCTCAAACCTTGACTAGATTTGCTCACCTCCTCCCTCCCACTTCTGAGCATAAACACTCTCTACTCTGGTTTCTCTGGTCTTGCACATGTGTTGGGCTTTCCACCAAAAATTATGAGTCACAAAAAAGATGCAAGAGGCACAGAAATCAGCAGAACCTGTCATATAGGACCCAGATGTTGAAATTATCTGGCAGGGAATTTAAACTATGATTAAGATGTTAAAGGTTTTAGTGGAAAAAATAGAGAGTTGCTTGAATAAATGGGTGATTTCAGCAAAGAGAGTAAAACCACAAGAAAGAGGCAAAGGGAAATATTAGGAACTTTTAGAAATGACATGGTAATTGAGATGAAAAATTCTTTTAAGGGGCTCATCAGTAGAATCTACATAGCTGAGGAAAAGTTAGTAAACTCAAAGATAAGTTAACAGACATTAATCAAAATGAAACTAAAGAGAAAAAGAGTAGAAAATCAGAACAGAGAAAAAAGAGCTTTGTGATTAAGCAATCTAACATTGGTGTACTTGCAATCTCAGAAGGAGGAAGGACAGAAAATGGTGTGGTAATATTTGAAGAGCTATTGATGGAAATTTTTTCAAAAATAATGAAAAATATCAATCCCCTAGAGCTAAAAATCTGAGAGAACACCAAGCAGAATTAATATTAATATTAATTAATTAATTATATCCACCCTCCCAAACACACCTGGACACATCTTACTCAAACTGATGGGACCCAAAGATAAAGAGAACATAGTGAAGACTGCCAGATAAAGAGAGGCAAATTACATAAAGAATAAATGTAAGGATTCCAACTGACATCCCATCAGAAACTGTACAAGTCACTAGACTATAAGGTGAAATCTATGCACTAAAAAATTGACTGAGAAATAAAAACATTTTGGGTGAAACAAATGAAAGCTAACATGACTACCACGTTACTATTACAGTATATAGCAAGGGAAGAATAAATATAATGCACAGAGAGAAAAGGAAATGCATTCTCATAAAGCTCAAGAAATACAAAGACTACTTTACTAGGTTTGTGATGATTTTTTACCTCTTGTTCTAATAGCCAATGAAAACCATTTGTTCTTCCATCCCACTGTTTCCATGCAGTATTCATGTACTCTTTATGTAAATCTTTCTCCTTTTTTGCTTAATTTTTTTTTGTGATTTCACTCCATGAAATTAGATTGCTCTAATTTTTAATTAGTAATATTATTACTAATTAAGATACTGCCAACCACCATTTCTGATATAGAATAAATTCCTGTTGTATTATAGCCACTAATAGAAAACACACCTATTACTTTGTAATGATATACTCAGAAATTTATTGTGTGTTTATTGCTCTGCAACTATTAATGTGTCATTTTTTTACATCTATCCTTTTTTTTATTATGTTCAGTTAGCCAGGATATAGTATATCATAAATTTTTGTTGTAGTGTTCAGTGATTCATTAGTTGCATATAACTCCCAGTGCTCATCCCAACACGTGCCCTCCTTAATACCCATCACCCAGTTACCCCATTCCCTCACCTCCCTCCCTTCTGTAACCCTGTTTGAATGCATACAGCACAGTGATAGTATTATGAATAATGTGGTATCAAAATAATGGCCCCCAAAAGATGTCCATGGTGAATTCCTGGACACGTGAAGATGTTAATTTAGATAGCAAAAGGGATTTTGCAGATGTGATTAACTTAGGATCTTGACACCCCCTGCCAACATCTGTCCCTCCTACACTGTTGGTGGGAATGCAAGCTGGTGCAGCCACTCTGGAAAACAGTATGGAAGTTCTTCAAAAAGTTGAAAATAGAGCTACCATACGATCCAGCAATTGCACTACTGGGTATTTACCCCAAAGATACAAATGTAGGGATCCAAAGGGGTACATGCACCCCGATGTTTATAGCAGCAATGTCCACAATAGCCAAACTGTGGAAAGAGCCAAGATGTCCAGCGACAGATGAATGGATAAAGAAGAGGTGGTATATATATATATATATATATATATATATATATATATATATATATATATATATACAATGGAATATTATGCAGCCATCAAAAGGAATGAAATCTTGCCATTTGCAGTGACGTGGATGGAACTGGAGAGTGTTATGCTGAGCAAAATAAGTCAATCAGAGAAAGACGTGTATCATATGACCTCACTGATATGAGGAATTCTTAATCTCAGGAAACAAACTGAGGGTTGCTGGAGTGGTGGGGGGTGGGAGGGATGGGGCGGCTGGGTGCTAGACATTGGGGAGGATATGCGCTATGGTGAGTGCTGTGAATTGTGCAAGACTGTTGAATCACAGACCTGTACCTCTGAAACAAATAATGCAATATATGTTAAGAAAAAAAAAGGAAGAAGAAGAAGAAGATAGCGGGAGGGGAAGAATGAAGCGGGGGAAATCGGAGGGGTAGACGAACCATGAGAGACAATGGACTCTGAGAAAAAAACTGAGGGTTCTAGAGGGGAGGGGGTGGGGGGATGGGTTAGCCTGGTGATGGGTATTGAGGAGGGCACATTCTGCATGGAGCACTGGGTGTTATGCACAAACAATGAATCATGGAACACTACATCTAAAACTAATGATGTAATGTATGGTGATTAACATAACATAATAATAAAAATAAATAAATAAATAAAAATTAGGATCTTGAGATGGGAGGCTATCCTGGATAATTTGAGAGCTCATTATAATCATGATAGTCCTTATAAGTTAAACAAGGGAGGCAGGAAGGTCAGAATCAAAGAGAGATTTGAAGATGAAGGAAGAGGCCATGAGCTGAAGAATGAGGGCAGCCTCTGGAAGCTGCGAAAGTCAAGAGAATTAATTTTCCCCTGGTGCCTCCAGAAAATACTAGGCTTTATCAACACCTTGATTTTTGTATAGTAAAATCCATTTTTAACTTGTGATGTCCAGAACTGTGATATAATAAATCTGTGTTATTTTGAAGCCTTCAAGTTTATGGCAATTTGTTACAATAGCAAAAGGGAGCTAATACAAATGGTTAAAATTTCTTAGCAAATGAGTATGATTTCTAGGAATGGTAGAGTTGCTGTAATTAGTTATGGTTAAGTTTCATGGTTTGGGCTTTCTGGGGTTTTGATACAAGTTATCTTATTGGTGTCTTGTTCATCAAACCCATATTCTATACTACAACTACTGTGTTGTAGGTTTTAGACTAGATAGTCATTGCCTTTTGGTTTTTAAACTAGCCAATTTTTAAAAAAGATTTTATTTATTTCAGAGAGAGAGAGAATGAGCAGTGGAGAGGGGCAGAGAGAGAGAGAGAGAGAGAGAGAGAGAAACAGCTCCCTACTGAGCAGGAAGCCTGATGTGGGGCTTGATCCCAGGACCCAGAGATCACAATCTGAGCCAAAGGCAGACGCTTAACCAACTGAACCACCCAGGCGCCCAAACTAGCCAATTTTTATAACCAAATTCTTGTAGACTCTTCACTCATCTTCATTTCTTTCCCATAATTTTCATTTTTTTCAATAAGTATATTGAGGTACAGAAGAATTTGATAAATTGCTTAGGATTAACCAGTTGACATTGGTTGGAAAATGGCAGAAGTTAGATGTAAACTTAAGTCTTTCCGATATCAGTGCCATGTCATTTTATCATAATATCTACCTTTCGGCTCAATTTATTCATTTTATTTTTCCAAATAGTTTGTTAGTGGATACATTTTGCCTGTGGTTGGGGGGTCTATGTAAAACCTGTCAGCAAGCTGCATAAAAGCTATGGAAGGAAAGTCACCAAGAGGACAAGCAGGAGAGAAGCCACCTTCCTGTCAGTGCACTTTGTCTCCTCCTAAAGGAGATAAATTTGAAAAAAAAAAAAAAAAAAGGAGAGAAATTTACCCTTAAGTACTCCATAATAAGTATGAATTTTAAAAAAAAGGAAAAAAAGAGATGTCAGGAACATAATTTTTCTAAGTTTGAGAAAACTAACAACCTCCCAAGATAATGATGGATCAGGTGATACATTCTAAACTAATAGTTTATTTTTAAATGTTTTAGAAATCCAAATTCATCATCAAAATTTTATTTAAAATCTTCTGCCTCTTGACTGGTGACCATGAAAATCTATTCCTCCAAGTTTTGTAAAACTAACTTAGATAGAAAAACATCCAAAATTCCAATCAGGTTTTATGACCTTTATTAATTTATCAGCATTTGTCAGTTATTCAGCTGAATCTACATTAAAAGGTAAACATTTTAATTATTGATACTTATTCACTAATTATTAATTAAGCAAATTAATGGCAATATATTAATTCAAACTTTAAAATATAGGCATAGACAATGACAGAATTATGCAAACATGCAAGGACTAATTTTTGAGAATACTGTTTTTCGAGAAATTATCATTGTGGATTTTTATTTTATACAGATTTCCAGAAGCATTTAGTTAAAGGGGTGAAGGATGAATTCCAAAATCTCTAGAAACAGTTTCCTTGCAACTGTTGACTTCATTAAAACTTTCCATAAAATTAAAGATAGTGTTCCTAGAAAAATAGTAAAGATATGTGAGAATTTTAGGTAAAATTTTAATTTTGATCCCAAATGTTGAAATTATCTAAAACAAAATTCAATATAATTAGTATGAAATTAGCATTTCATATACATTTTTAATAAAACAATATTTTGCTCTTTAAAATTATGTATTTTAAATTTTGCCTTCATATTCAAACTTATGTGTAAGTAACTAAAGAAAATAATAGATACAGCAGTGATTGAAGCAATGAAAACCCATAAAAAATGAAGTGCCATTTTTCTCATATCAGACCCTTGAAAATTAGAAAGTTTGTTAATATTCATTTTTGGTGTCTATGCAGAAATATGAACTTTAGTAAGTAATTTGTGTTGTTTTGTTTTTATTCTGGTTTTGACAAGAATGTAATCCATAGCACACTGTTTAATTGCCACTTAGCAATACCTGATCCATGAATTCATTCCTAGTAATAGAATCGGCCACTATCCCAACAAATTAAGCTAATAAAAGTACACAGTGAATTCCACTTTTGCACTACCTAAAACTGAAAAGAATATCAATCCATTCAATAGAAAGTTATATATTATTTAGAGAATAATGTGTGTCAATACTTGCTGACTTGCAAGTATATCTCAAGTACATCTCATATCTCAAGTATATATAGCTACTGAAAAATTTAAAGCACAGAGCGGTGCCATACATATAATCTTTTTTATGCAAACAGCACAGTTTTTAATCAAATTATTTATTTTTATATTTATTCATGAGTTCATACAAATTTTTTTATAGGAATAGGCCTAAAACTTAAAAAAAAAAATATATCAGGCGAGGAATTAAGATATGGAAGTTAAAAGATAATGGAGAGAGGTTAAGTTTTACATGCATTTTAATGTTTAAATTTTTAATAAGAGGCATATATTGAACATATTGTTCAAATAAGTATAAGTGAAATTATAGCCAAAAAATGAAATACTATTAAGAAATGGAGAAAAGGGGCGCCTGGGTGGCTCAGTCATTAAGCGTCTGCCTTTGGCTCAGGTCATGATCCCAGGGTCCTGGGATCGAGTCCCACATCGGGCTCCCTGCTCAGTGGGAAGCCTGCTTCTCCCTCTCCCACTCCTCCTGCTTGTGTTCCTGCTCTCGCTGTCTCTCTGTCAAATAAAGAAATAAAATCTTTAAAAAAAAAAAAAAGAAATGGAGAAAAAGTGTTTAGTAATGGTATGAATTTTCAATAGGACAAATGTATCAGAATGGATTGATAGGTCAATGAGCAAAAAAGAAATATACAGAAGTCATGAGCCTGGAGCAATGCCCTTTTTCTATTTGATTCCCTGTTAGGAAAAGCATGTTTGTTTCCCGTTGCTTTATTTCATGTGCACCTATTTTCATTACTATCCCTGGATTTTTGGCTCACCTCTAATTCCTCTCCATGGGGGTCTCTAATTGGTGGCTGACAAGTGGCTGGAGCTTACATGGCAAATGTCTCAAGACTAAGAAATCACTCATTTCCCTGTTATTACACACCAGCAGTGAGGCAGGAACACCCATACAAGAGGTCTGTTCTGCAGACTAAACTTTCCCCACGTGGTTGTGGTAAATAAATATTTTTTTTAAATGCAAAAATAGGGGCGCCTGGGTGGCTCAGTCGTTAAGCGTCTGCCTTCAGCTCAGGTCATGATCCCAGAGTCCTGGGATCGAGCCCCGCATCGGGCTCCCTGCTCCGCAGGAAGCCTGCTTCTCCCTCTCCCACTCCCGCTGCTTGTGTTCCCTCTCTCGCTGTATCTCTCTGTCAAATAAATGAAATCTTTAAAAAATAAAAATAAAAAAATAAAATGCAAAAATATGGAGACTTGAAGTCTCAAAAATATCAGGGCATAGTGGCTAAAATATAAGGAAATGCAGTCCAGTTTCCAGTGTAAAGCAAAAGCTGAAATGTTCTGGTGTCAAAAATGTAGCCGAATGTTATACTAAAAAGTTTGTTCAATATATATTTACTGACTATAAATCGAACATGCTCAACTGTAGAACTATTTTTATTAATGGTATCCTGTTTTTTTCTATACTTGAATTAAAAATATCTGCCAAGGCTCGAAGCACTGTTTCTGAATTCTGAGTATCAGTGAGTGCATGCAATTAGTAGAGGAAGATAGGAAACAAGGTAGCTAGTTTACCTACATTCCAACTCGTCCTTTTTTCTTTTTATTGTAGCCTATAGAGTCAACTCAGAACTCCTTAACAAATCCAAAGCTAATTTTGGTAAAACTGGAATTACAAAAATCTAGAAATCTGTTGTGTACAATCTTTAAAATGTAATTAATCCTATGGTGAGCGCTGTGAATTGTGTAAGACTGATGAATCACAGAACTGACCCCTGAAACAAATAATACATTATATGTTAAAAAAAAGAAGACAGTAGGGAGGGTAAAATGAAGGGGGGGGCATCGAAGGGGGAGATGAACCTTGAGAGACTATGGACTCTGAGAAACAAGCTGAGGGTTCTAGAGGGGAGGGGGTGGGGGATGGGGTAGCCTGGCGATGGGTATTAAAGAGGGCACATACTGCATGGAGCACTGGGTGTTATACGCAAGCAATGAATCATGGATCACTACATCAAAAACTAATGATGTAATGTATGGTGATTAACATAACATAATAAAACTAAATTTAAAAACAAAGAACTAAAAAAAAAAATGTAATTAATCCTAACCATCCATTCAGTGCCTCACTCTACATACTAGGACAGTAGAGTTTGTTCATATCGTCTGAGCCTAGATTGTACTTTTTATATCTGACAATGTGGCAAAGATGACTGGAAATCAATACATTTTATGATGCTCCTAACAGTGTGGCTCAGTCAAGAATTAACTTTCCCGAGTCCCTCCTATGCACCATCTAGTTGGGCTGTATGACTATTCTTACCAAAGCTATGTGAGATACAGTTAAGTTTGTCACTGCTAGTCTAAGCTTTTCAAAGAGGGACCTCCTTAAGCTAATTCCTTTGAATTACCTTATAAGGAGGATACAGTAGTGAAACTGTGAAGGAGGATGGAGACAAAGATGGAAAGATCCTAGGTCTCTGAATTACCATGGAAGAAAGTCTCTTACCAATTGACATAATAGCCTACATCATTATGTGAGCCAGAAATAGAATCCTTTGAGTTTTGCCATTACAATTCAAAGGTTTATTAAAACAGCGAATGTTACTCTAAGTAATATACATACAAGTTTTACATTTAAAATATAACGCATTCATTTTTATTTTGACTCATATCTTATTTCTGAATTGTTTTAGGGAACATAAATTTAACACACATGCATACACACACACACGCATAATTTTTTTTCCTCAGTAGAACAAGGATAAATGGTATCTTAGAAATTGAATGACATAGTAATTTTCAAACTTATTATTATGTAATTTCTTCTATGTTTTCCACTATTAGTAAACCTAGGATTTTGAAATCTTGGAGAAATATACCTCCTTCAAAACCAGAATTTGGAAGGGGGTCAATTTTTTTTCTTTATGTCTATAATCATAGATGATGAGGATGAGGAAAGTTCATAAAATACAATTTATTTCATGGTTCTGTTAGTCATGGCAAGTGTCATTATTTGTTTAGTAATCTTTTTCATTTAAAAACAAAAATAAGATAAAATAGCAAAATTTATCCAAGAAAGAAATAGAGATGTCCATTGTCTCCTTGCCAAATTAACATGTGGTGATATTGATCTGCTTTGTGCAAAGGTCCAAGAGGAGAGGACATGCTAAATAAGGGAAGGCCTGTAATATGTGCTCACTAAATGAAGCCAATCATAAACCCACAAGGATTATTTTTAAAACTTTGAAACAGATATCTTAGGAAGTCAACATTTTCATCTTTAGACAGTCTGTTGTAATGATTTATGATTCTAATAGTATTTCATTTCATTATGTATGAAATCAACACAACATAAAAAATTTACAAAAAAAAAAAAGTCTCTGTGGCTCTTACCTGTATACCTATGCACTTTGTGGAGAAGATTTAGAGCAAACAGGATTGTGTTCTGAAAGCCACTAAAGTCACTGATGAAGGGGACGTTATCTCCACTAACAAGCATTCGTCTTGGAAGCTCCTTCTGGAATTCATATGTTCTAATTAAGGTTGTAGGAAAGTGTGGTGGAGCTAAATAATCCACAAATAAAGCCCAGCTTCTTGCAAAATCAGCTTCTTGTTTAGAATAATATTTTAATCTAATTGACAAGTGGGGAAAAGTATGCATTTTGAATTAGTCTACTCAGAATTTTGCCAACTCAATTTTCAAAACAGATAATTTGTTCAAAATGACTTTATTCTACTTTTTAGAATATAGATTATAGAAACTTGGTGTTGATTTTACCACCTAGATTTGAAAATTTGAAGAGATGTTATTAGAATTTTAAATTTGGAAATTACCATCTCAGAACATGTGTTTTTAATCATATTTTTCCCTTTTCATAAAGCATTTACATTACTTACATAAACTGAAATGTGACCAAGTTTCATTATTTTAAAATGTAAAGATGGGGCGCCTGGGTGGCTCAGTTGGTTGAGCCTCCAACTCTTGATTTCAGCTCAGGTCATGATCTCAGGGTCGTGGGATCGAGCCCTGCATCAAGCTCCACACTCAGGGGGCAGTCTGCTTGGGATTCTCCTTTTCTCTCTCTCTCTGTCTCCCCTCCCCCCATTATTTCTAAAATAAGTAAGTAAGTAAATAAATAAATAAATAAAATGTAAAGGTAAAAGTCAAAGAAAATTGGCAAAATTTCTGCTGAATTTAGATATCTCCTAAAGAACACATAATTTTCATTTCAGGCAACCACTAAAAACGAAGTAACAGAATTTTCCTGCTTTTTAGGTAGCTTGGTATTTTATTTCTGCTGATATATACTAGAAAGCTAACTTTTCTTTCTTTTTTTCAGGTGTACAATGTAATGATTTGATATTTGTGTATATCCCCACAGGTCTAATTAACATTTGTTACCAAACATAGTTACAAAATTTTTTCTTGTGATGAGATTAAGATTCACTCTCCTAGGAAATTTCAAATATGCAGTACAGTATTATTAACTACAATGACTATGTTATACATTACATCCCCATGAACTACGCATAACTGGAAATTTATACATTTTGACCCCCTTCACCCATTTCACTCAGCACCTCTCTCTCTCTCTATATATATGCCATTATATATGATACCACTATAATATATATGATAATATTACATATTTTTATCCATTCATGCATTGATGAACACTTAGATTGTTTCCATGTTCTAGCTATTGTAAATAATACCACAATGAACATGTATATCTTTTTAGATTAGCGTTTTCATTTTCTTCAGAAAAATACCTAGTTATGGAATTGCTGGATCATATGGTAGTTCTATTTTTAATTTTTTGAGGAATCTTTACACTGTTTTCCATGGTAGTTGCAACAATTTATATTCCTGCTTTCTGTTCTTACTGAGAAAGAAATTTTAATTTAAATTTTTAGTAATTTTATCTATTTTATTTAATTAATTAATTTATTTTATTGAGAGAGAGAGAAAGAGAGAGAGAGCACCTTCAGGATGGGGGAGGGACAGAGGGATAAGGAGAGAGAATTTTAAGCAGACTTCTCACCCAGTATGGAGCCTGATATGGGTCTTGATCTCACCAGGCTTACATCATGACCTGAGTTCAAATTAAGAGTCAGACACTTAACTGACTGAGCTACCCAGGCGCCCTTTTATGTATGTGTATACATTATTCTCTACAGGGGTGATATATATTTGCTTGCTATTTTGAACCATGCTTGTTCCTTCTGAAACATTTTACAGGCTATTTCTTGCTCATCTTGCCCTATGTCCTTCAAGTCTTATTATGGAAGTTATATGGTTTGTTACATTCCCCCTGGAATTACTCAAAGTAATATAGACATCAGGGTCTAGGTATTATGGATTCAGAAAGTAACTGGAACATATCCCCTGGTTAATATCTGTGAAAGAAACATACCTGTATATACATGGTTCATATAGAGCTATGGGCGTATAGAGGATGAAATAACTAACTTGTCCTTGATTATAGAAAAATTGATTGGCCCTCCATGCTCTTATCAAATCATGCCCAACTTTCAAATTCAAGAAGGAGAAAACATGAATATGTAAGGTTATTCAGTAAGGGTCACACAATTTTAATAACAGCACAACTAGACATTGTGTGCCTAACCCGAAGGCCACAAGCTTTAGTCTGAGTTCCACAGTTTCAGCTCTTATATTTAGGTCTATAATGCATTTTGAGTTAATTTTGTTGTTTTAGGAGACAAACTTCATTCATTGCATGTGGATTACCAGTTCCACCAGCACCATTTGTTGAAAAACTATTCTTTACCCATCAAGTTGTTTTACACCCTCATTGAAAATCAGCTTTTGTTTCTAGACCCCAATTCTATTCTATTGATCCATATGTCTACTATCATGTATTAACACTCTGTCTTGATTACTGTACTTTTGTAGTAAGAGATTAACAGAGATTGCACCAAATCTGTGAATAAATTTAGGGAGTGTTGCCATTTAAACAATATTACGTCTTCCAATCCATGAACACAAGAAGATTTTCCTTTAAACATTTCTTTCATTTCTTTCAAAAATATCTTGTATTTTTCAGTGTATCCAAGTTTTAAAGTTCTTTTGCTAACTTTATTCCTATATATTTTATTTTTCCTGATGCTGTTGTAAATGTTTCTGTTTTCCTAGTTTCATTTTAGGATTTTTTTATTGCTACCACATAGAAATACAATTAATTTTTGTATGTTGACCTTGTATACTGCTAGGTTGAAGAACTCATATATTAATTATAATATTTTTAGTGGATTTCTTAGAGAGAAAGTATTATTTCTTCTCTTTCTATCTAGATTACTTTCATTTCTTTTTACTGCCTAATTTCCCTGGCTTGAACCTCCAGTGCAATCTTGGATAGATGTGGTAAGAATGGGCAACCTTGTCTTTTTCATTTTAAAGGAAAAGCATTCAGTCTTTCACCATACCATGTTAACTGTAGGTTTTTCTAGATGCACTTTAACAAGATGAGAAACTTTTCTTCTATTCCTAGGTTTTTTTTTAATGTTGTTATCATAAAAGTGTGTTATCAAATGCTTTTTCTATGTCTACTGTGATGATTTTGTGATTTTTGTTCCTTATTCCATTAATATGGTGTATTATATTGATTGATTATCAAATACTAAACCAACTTTGCATTCTTAGAATAAATCCCATATGGTCATGGTTTATGGTCCTTTTTATATGTGGCTAGATTCTGTTTACTAGCATTACATTGAGGATTTTTGTGTCTATGTTCATAAGAAATGTTGGCATGTAGTTTTTGTGTAATGTCTTTGGTTTTGCTATGAGAGTAATATTGCCAGTTTGCTATCTGTTCTTATGTCTTATGTCTTTGTCCTCTTTTTCTTCATTGCTGTCTTCTTTTGTACTAAATGGATATTTTCTAGTGTAAATGTTTCTTCCCTGTGCTTCTTTTCTATCATCTCTCTCTAATCTATCTACATTATAATTTCTTAACTCTTCCTCTTCACTGATGATATACAATTACTATCCATCTTAAAACAATGTGTTAATATTGATAGTAACTTAATCTAACCATTTACATAAATTTTCCTGCAATATAGTTCCATTCCCACTCTCCTGCAGGTCTGCAAAGCTCTTTTCATCTTTCTTCATCCTTTTTTCTTTTTGTTCCTCACACTGGGTAATCTCAATTTACCTATTTTCAAGTTTACAGATTCTTTCTTTTGCCAGCTTAAGTCTGCTTTTGAATCCCTCAAGTGAATTATTTATTTTTACTATTATAATTTTCAACTGCAGAATTTCTATTTTTTTCTGTAAGTTTTATCTCTTTATTCATAATCTCTACTTAGTAAAACATTGTTGTCAATTCATACTTTCCTTAAATTCTTTAGACACAATTTTTAAAAATTTTTTAAAACATGCTCATAAGTGATTCAAAAATTTTGTCCATCATCTGAACTCAGAGGAACAATTCCTAATGACTGATTATCTCTGTGTAAGTGTCTGTATGGGCGGGGGGTGGTGGCGGGGGCATGCATGCACTACTTTCTCTGTTCTTTGCACATCTCTCTCTCTCTCTCTCTTTTTTTTTTTTTGAACAATGGACAATTCAGAAACTATAAAGTGGAAATTCTAAAAATCAGATTCCCATCCTTACCAGGGTTTGTTGTTGTTTGGTTTTCTTGTCATTATTTGTTTATTGATTTGCCTGGACAAATTCTGTTATTCATTCTGTGTTCTCTGTAGTGAGTCATCACTGAAGTCCCTGCTCAGAAGCTTAATGGTCAGCTAATGATTAGTTAAAGATTTTCTTAAGTTCCTTGAACCAATGAGTCTTCCACCTTTTGCTGAAGAGCTCTATGTATGTGTTGGGGTATACCTTCAATCCTAAGGCCTTTTACAATTTTTCTCAAGCCTTTACTTCCTATTTGTTCAGGGTCTCAAGGTAGCCAGCGGTGAGACATTGGGGTCCTCTCAGTTCTTGCCTGGGTATGACCTCAGTTCTGTTCATGTTTGTAGGTCCTAGAAAAAGACAAATTCTCTGTAGACAGAGTAACAAGTAGCCACCAAACCCATTTTTAGACTGACTTTGATCCATCAACAAAAATTTGCTTCAGTGACCAGGTTTTTCCAAGCAGCCAGTAAGTGGCATGCCCTCCTTTCCGAAAGTCAGCCAATCAGGAATGGACTCCCTGCATAGCTATGCCTCTAATGCCAAATGAAAACTGTCTCACCTAAGTAGCCTTCTTATACTGATGACTCAACCCACTTAAATGCCTAAAGATCTACCAGTCTCTGAACTCTGCATCTCCTAATAACCCGTCTCAAGATGAGAAGAGTGCTCTGCTCAGTGATACTGTGCATGACGATGTAACTTTCCCTTCCTAGAATTGCAATAAATTCAGCTTTGTTATTTTATTTCAGATATTGAGGGCTGATCTCATCATCCTTTGAGAGTTGCTATGAGAAATGCTATTTTTCAGAGGAATTTAGTTTTGCATGTCATTGGGAAAGTCTACAAAAAATAATATTTTATAAACTACTTTCTATAAACTATAATGACTTGATCTCAATTCCACTTTTGATGTTGACAACTCCTGTTTACTCTGTTGGCTGATAATCTCACCTCTCTTTGGCAGTGATCAGAATCAAGCAGTTGAGTCACAGCAAAAAGGTATGATGGCTACAATCCTAATTCATCTCACAGACATGCCAAGAGGATGAACTCTTCTGTTGACCAATATAAAAATCAGCCTTTGAAGCACTATTAAGAAATAAAATATACAAAACAATGTAAGCTTCCTGACTCTGTGATTTGTTTCTCTTCACTGGATATGCAGTCTGTGGGAAAGATAACAGTACTTGATCAATAAGAAGTCCTCAAACATGAGTGCCTATATTTTTTGTGTACTTTAAACCAGTCACCCATTCTTTAGTTCCTTATACTGCATGTCTCACTCTGGGTGGCAGATACCGCCCCCATACAGTGTCATTCACTTCCATACCAAGTCATGCTGTCTTTTTCGATCTCATTTGCTGTAAAATGGGGAGAGTTCTGACATTTTAGCTAACTGGCATGGTAACCAAGATGCTTCTTGGACACTCCCCTCCAAATATGTGTTAGCCAAGCTATTTTTTCTGATCAAAGTGATGCAGAGATCCTATAATGATTTGCCATCACATCCTTTTTGTTTACAGACACCAGTTTTTGTTAAAACAGCCTTAAAAAAATCTTCTTGTACTTCTGAATTCATTTTGTTTTATTGCTGTCTTGTGGCACAAACATACTTTTCTTCATATTTTCCCCTGCTGCTTATAACATAGTTTTGGGCTTTATCCAGTAAAACATTTTCCTGTCAGTTTTCTCTTTATCGTAATACATCCTCATGTTTGACATATTGGTGAATAGGTAAATTGAAAAAGACTTCAATGAAAAAGATAGTGTAAGATGGAAAGATTGTTACCATATTAAAACAAAATCATTTTATTTTATTTTATTTTTAGAGAGACAGTGTGAGCAGGCAGGGGGAGGCAGAGGGAGACAGAGAGAGACTCTCAAGCAGGCTCCACGCTCAACATGGGCCCCAACATGGGGCTCAACCTCATGACCCTGAGATCATGACCTGAGCAGAAATCAAGAGTCAGATGCTTAACTGAGCAACCCAGGTGCCCCCAAACAAAATAACTGTAGATCCATTCTTACCTATTTTGAAAATTTTTTGAGCAATCTCCAAAGATGAGACATGTGCAGTCCATAAGTACTCCAACAGGTCATCAAAGCTACTAGAATGTGACTTTATGTGCTGTCAAAGACAAAAAATGTTACTGATATTTAGGCAGTTATAACAATCTCTCTTCTTGAAAGTCAATTCTATTTACAAATATAATTTTTCAACATTCTAAATGAGGGGAAAACATTTTTTTCTAAGAGTTAAGGTATGAAACACTCCGTAAAGAGCTTAATATCAAGCATTTTAATTGCAAGTGATCCTGAATCCCTATGAAAGAAATAAACCATGTGTTTTTAGAAATGTTCAGGATTTTACACTGTTCAGAACCAGACCTTTAGTATTTTATGCATTTGGTTTTCTCTTGCCATGCAATGAATTTTCCACCAACGGTTAAGGGTAAGAGTGTTTTATCTAAACATATGCAATTTAATGAACAATTCTCTAAAGGAAAACCCAATCTTTAGTCATGTACTCTTTCACCCATGACACATTACTTTGAACATCAATATTTGATTCTGACTGTCAAATGCTAATTCAGTCAACTCATATGTGATTTGTTTATCAAGACAGTTGAAATAAGCTGCTCAAATTCACTACAACCTATTACACAATTGTGTTTCTATACCGGTTATTGCTCAGTTGACCTGAAATTATGATGAGCTAGGATACTTCATGCACTGTTAAGTCATAATTTCTCTGGGCTCATGTGTGTGTATATAATTTATTTGGTATGAGAATAGTAGATAGCGTGGCCTTGATAGAGTATTAGTAATGAGGATGCTAATGAGGTATGATGTCAAGCAGCAATTCACTCATACTAATACTGTTGTCACCACAATATTTTCATATTAGCACCTTTGTTCCTTAGGAACAATTGCTCAATGTATAAAAAAATCTACATTAAGTGATATTCAAAAATTATCTGGCTATCCTTGAAGAGTATTAATTAAAACACTTAAAAAAAAAACCTGGTAAAATTCATTCCACTTTTTCATTGCTTCTGGAAATGATGATTGGCAGTTAGAAACATTGTAACAAAAATTCATCTGATCATTGGATGGTGGCAGAAAGGTGACTTTATCTGATGATATCCCCATTATGCCAGAATCAACCTCAGCAAGGAAGGGCATTGTAGAGAGATAATAATTAAGGTCTGTATAAACAAAAAGTTATTAATATTGTTAACACACAAAAGAAGTTGTTTTCAAAGTAAAGGAATCTATCTAAAAGTAAGCCTAAAGATCTAGAAATCTGGTAAAACTTAAGTGGTAATTTGGGGAACTTCGGAAATTTTATCAGAAATTTCCCTTAGTGTTATATGCAACTTGAATATGCTTCTCTTAAAAACCCTATTCTCATAAAGCAAAATGGATTTATCTTGTAGATTTATTATTTTAAATCACACATAATAATTGCGCTGGAATTTAAAAATGCTAATTAAATTCTAAGGCATAGTAAGTGAAAAATTTAGAAACTAGTAACAATTAACAAATGAGAGTTCAAATAAAAACTCAAAACAAAAAAATTAGTAGCAGAATTCTATACTTTTCTAAGTTTTTACTTTAAATCTGAAAATCTGATGTAGTTTAAAATATTTAATCTAGAGATGTCTCTTGTTAACAAGGTTTTTTATTTGATAATATAACACAAATTCTTATTTCTGTCTTATGTATTTAAATCAAGTTTTGAGGTTACCAATTTTCCCTAATTGATATTTTTATAATTGGATAAACTAATAAGTAAATTAAAAAAATGTCTATCTCAAGACTCATTTTCAAAACACCCAGATTTGGGTCAAACAGATGTTTTTTTTTGTAAAAGCAATGATTCCGGTTTTGGTTTTTGTTTCTCTAATCGGGATCCTAGGTTTAATTGATTTTTTGTGGAAAGGTCATCAATTTGAGGTTTTACTGTCACATTGAACTCACCAGCCCACCAACTGTCCACAGAGATACAGAGATGATCCCCAGATTTATGGCCACAGTCTGTACTTTGGGTGGGATCAGCTAATCTGCCTAAAAGAGAGGAAATCCAGAGCTGGATTTACTAGACCCCTTCCTAAACTGTAGATCCAAAACATAACTAGATATAATATGTTTACAGGAATAAAGAATTGTGTCAGCTTTCCCATCATTGTCTTTCCTTCACTTCATGACTTTCTGCTTCCCATCTCCTATTCATAATTTTTCCTTTTCCTTAACATCCCTACAATGCTCTATTCTCTCTCGAAGGCCATATTTTTTTAGCCTTTGTAGTCTGTGTGTCTTCTATTTACTAACTACTCTTTATCTTCAATATTAGGGAGTGAATATTCATGTATAGTCAACAAGATCCAGGCTCTATTTGCTTAAAATCAAATCCCTTTTCATTGCTTACCTGCCTACTGTTTGACCTTGAATAAATAACTTCTGCAAGCCTCAGTTTTCTCATGTACATACTGGAGAGACTAGCAATAATCACTTCACAGAGGTTCAGGGTTGTTAAATCAAGAAGGGTGCAGAAAGTGCTCAGCTCAGAGAACATGTGCTTCTGTAAATATTAGCCATTATTCTATTTTTATCTCTTTTCTTTTTGTCATCCTCTCTCATCTTCTACTTTCAAAACATCCCTTTCTGTTTCTTTCTCACTTAAGTTTTTTGTACCTTCTGCATATACTCCCTGCATCTGCTTTCAACTATCTCTGACTCTCAGCCCATCTCTTTCCCTGTTTCCACCATTTTCATACTGGCCTATTCTCTTTACTCCTGCTAATTTTCCCTTTTCTCTGGCTTCCCCCTCACACTGTTTTGGCTCTTCACTTGCCACTCCAGCCTCTCTCTTACCCAGTCCTTGCTTGCCTACTGGGTACCTCTCCTTCTTTTCTCCCAGTCCTCTTCTCCTGCAACATTCACTTATTCTTCTTTCTCCTTCCTTCCCTATTATTATTTCTTTTCACCAGTTCTGTTTCTCATGAACTTCTTTTGTTTCCCTTTTACTTTCTCATCCTGGTTTCCCATTTAGCTCTTCTTGACCTGCTTACCCTTCTGTGGGCAAGAGGAAAGACCTTGGTAGTTCTGTTAATACATGGAAATTTCTAAAAATTGTTATTCCTCTTTTGAACTGGAAAAATATCCAAGTATGTGAAACATACCTCTCCTGGTTCTTAGGTTTTGCCTCAGTTGGGAGTTGTTTGAAATCTGTTTCTAAGACTGTCTTTTTAAAACCACTCGGTCTCTGAGGATGTTTGCCCATGATGCTAACCTAAGGATTTCCTTATGTTGCTAGCTTCCTTGTCTTCTCCTCCAAATACTTGACTGTGTTCCAGTTCCATTTTTATCAAATTCCCACAGAACTCCCTTATTAGTGACTCCGCATCACCTCCAACTGCACATGCCTGGGACTGAGCACTTGATTTTGACAGTCAAGGAAGATTGCATCCCAAACTTTCTGTTCTTTGTCAGCAGAGTTTCACTATTCTTCCGGACATCTCCAGCACTTCCCCCTTCTTTACAGCCAAGCTGTGCCTGCTTACTGCTGTTTTATCTTCTGAAGAAATTTTTGTCCTTGTCTTCCCATGGCAAGAAATACATCATTCTCAATAACCTTGACCAAAATTGTTTTGTCATCCTCATTTTCCCAGAGCAAAATTAATGTTATATTTGTTATTATTCAAATCCAATTTTTTTGCTGCGAATTTACCATATTTTCCAATTATATTATTTCTGTAGCATACATTATGTATTTCCCATCCTCCCAACATTTCCCTCTCTTTTTGTCTTTTTCTCTCACAAAACCACACTAATTCCAAACTCTGTCCTTTAGTTTATTCTATTTCTTTCTTCATGGATTACTTTTTTCTTTAAAGTCCATCAGTGTTTTACCTTTTTTTTCAGGATTTCCTTCAAATCTTACTCTATTCCTAGATTATCCCACCTCACAACATTCACTTTATTCTAGCATCTAATGATTTGGCTCTTTCTTGTCTTATGGTTGTATCATTTCTAACTCTCCTTTTTTTTGTTTGTTTGTCTGATTTTTCTTTTTCTTTTTTTAAATTTAAATTCAATTAGCCAATGAATAGTACATCATTAGTTTATGATATAATGTTCAACGATTCATTAGTTACGTATAAGACCCAGTGCTCATCACATCACGTGCCCTCCTTAATGCCTTCTTAACCATATTGTAAGTGCTTCGAGAAGGAAGCAATGACATCTACTATCAATTTCTTGTATACTTGCCATAGTCTTCCCTTTTTTCATCTATTTTTCTATTTGGTGTCACTGCCTTATCCTGACTCAGACTCCCAATATTCTCTTCCCAATTCAAACATTAATCTAATTAAAATTTTGGCTAACCAATAAAAAAGAATGAATACTGATAAGGCAACTAGACAGATGAATCTCAAAATAATCATGACGACTGAAATAAAACGGACTAAAAAAAAGCACCCAATTGTCTATATGGAAATTCTAGATAATGCTGTCTAATCTGCAGTGATAGAAAGCAGATCATTAGTTGGTTACTGGTGAAGTTGAGGAGTGAGGGGCATGAGAAGTTAGGGGAGAGGAAAGGGCTGGGAGAGACTAGAATCGGGAAGTTCTTGAAGATGAGAATACAAAGGGGAAAAGAAAATTTTTAGAATGACATATATGTCCATTATGTGTGGTGATGGGTTCAAGGCTATGGACATATATCAAACTTACCAAAAAATACATTTTTAAATATGCTGTTTATTGTATGTTTATTGTATATAAATAAAACTTTGTTTTTTAAAAAACCTCTGCTAAGCAATCAAGAAGCACTTAAAATGCTTAAGTATTTTGTAAGCATTAGACGTTTGTTACTAAACTAAACCATCTTGCTTAAGAGCCCAATTAAAACTCCCCAGTCTGATTTTAAGACATTTCTTTAACTGACCCTCGTCGATCTTCTTAAATTTACCACCCAGTACTCTTTCATATTCTAGTTCTCCTGCCAATGTGGTAGTCTTCTTCCGGTTCAACCTGCTATCATTGTCATCTTTGTAATTTGTATTCCAGCAATCATATTCTAGCAATGTCTCCACCAAGTTCTTAGGCCCTGCTTTCTTCCCATGATATTCTCAGCCCATGATTGTCACTCTCTTTCTTGAACTACTCTTGTACTTACAGTCCTTATCTCTTTTTTGAGACTTAACATACTGTTGGCGAAATACTTTTATGGGCTACTTTCATAATTTGTAATTCTGTTCTGGTTTTCTCTAGTTATATTATGGAGTTTAACTCAATTAAATACTAAGTAAAAGCAGCCACTTAAAAAACAGCAGAATCCAATTTATTGTATTCTAAAATGAAAATGAAATTTTGAAAGTACCCTATCCAATATTCTACTTTGCTATTCGTTCATTCCTGGACCCAGGGCTGAAAACTTTCCTAGCGGTAAGTGTGTGCACCCCTTGGGGGAATTGCTTATTGTTTCCAGTGGACCTTATGTTTAGGCTCCTCCAGAACCATGTCTCAGGAGTTCAAATATTCTTCTTTTCCATGCCAAGGACAGTCTAAGAATGGGGATTATACTGGATGTCCAGAGATTCCCTGACAAGCTTGGTTGTAATGCTAGCTTAGAATGTCATCACAGACCAGACAGACAGGCTCTTCCCCTGTATTTTCTATAATGCTAACCATTTTCTCATTGATTCCTTTCTTCCAATACTGTTTTCTAGAAGTTGAGAGTGAAGGTCCTTTATTTCTTGAAATCCGTTCAACAAGATGGCTTGGCACTTTTACAATATTTTTGTTCCAAAACAAATATCTACTTTCATTCCTCAGTGTAGATGCTATTTTAGATAGAGAAAGGTTTTCCTACAGAGGTTTTTTTTCTCCTTTGTCACTCCAATCTATATGACTGTAGCTAATCATATTTAGAACTACAGATAATGCAAATTAATTTTATACACCCATGTGTATCACCTTTACTGTTTTGTTCCTGGATGTACTCTTTGGTGCTTAGAACTAGGCTTGGTACCAACAGCACATCAATTAATAGTTATTAACATGGAATGAACTAGGCCTAATATGCTGTATCTCAGTGAATGTGGTAATCACTAGCCATTTGTGGCTATTTAAATTTAAATTAGTTGACATTAAACAAAATCAAGAATTCAGTGGTGCAAAACCATTAGCCATTTCAAGTGCTTAGTAGCCACATGTAAGAATATGAGAGTACAGTGTGACTGTGGCTGTCATACTGAATAGGGCAAATAGAGAAAATCTTCAGCATTGCACACAGTTCTTTTGGACATTTCTGGGTAGAAAAACCATGCATGCAGGGGGGAGTCCATAAATACTTGACAGACATTAGGCCAGAGATTCTGCAAATAGTTGGAAAAGAAGTAAGAAAGAGAGAGAAAAAATTCCATTTTCAAAAAGATGATGCTGGGGCGCCTGGGTGGCTCAGATGGTTAAGCGTCTGCCTTAGGCTCAGGTCATGATCCCAGGGTCCTGGGATCAAGTCCCGCATCAGGCTCTCTGCTCCTTGGGAGCCTGCTTCTCCCTCTGCCTCTCTCTCTCTCTGTCTCTCATGAATAAATAAATAAAAATCTTTATAAAAAAAAACATAGTATAAAAAAGATGATGCTAAATATGCAGGTACTACGTCCTAATTCATTCACACTTAAATCAAAGGGTCATTGCAATGAAAAAGAGACATTCTTACCTGTATGATATTGCCATCCATGATGTACAGGCAGTTCCCATAAAATATTTCGTTCATTTTCTGGTGAAAATTTTGCAAAATACTTGGCTGTCCTGTTCAGTAGGGTTTTATACATCCCCAGTCTCTCAGGGTAATGCCAGAAGTTAATGATGTACTTCCCATTTTCTATCTTGTAGTCACTGAACTGACCAGGACTCTCTTTCCACAGAGGGGGATACATATCTGAGATATTGGATGTTTTTGCTAAAGAAGCAAAAATACAACAAATTATTACACAGGCCCAGGAAAGATTGAAAGTCATAGTGTCTAGCCTGGAGATTGAGATTATGGCAAGATCTTTATTGGGAAATAGAGGAGGAAGCTATATTGTTTTTCTGCACCTTGACTAATCAACACTTTAAATTACCTTCCATGGTAGTAAGAAGGTGAGAGATAAACAAATACCTTACCAGAGAGATTAGGGTACCTCCCTTGTTAATCATCTCCCAAATAAAAATTGTTGATTATGTATCAGTCTCTAGAATTTTTAGGAATTTTTAGTAGTAAGTTTTTAGTAAGACTTGTTTTTGTCTCTATCTTCTGATCTGTTTCTCGTATTAATCATAATAATAAATTGTAGGTCTTTCCCAGAGTTACTTGAAATTTAAAGGACAGCTGTTATGAACCAGTTTAATCTCTAATTAGTGGCATTTCAGCCACATAAATTGTTAACTAAACAATTTTAGATAGAATTTGTTAGACATTTTAGTGATATTCGGAACTTCACCAAATCTCTTTGAAATTTTAGTCCATGTGTAAGTCCAGACTTGTATGTCAGAGATGTCAACCCAAATTCCACGTTAGCAGGATCTGAGCCAAAGACTTGTGTGCAAGCAGTTGATTTGTGGCTAGAGAGTAAAAGTAAAGAGGGAGAAAAAAAAAGAAAGGAAGAAAAGTAAATACAAGGAGAGACTGTCAGTTTGCCTTCACTAAGGGTATGGGGTGCTTAATTGTTGTCTAGGAACAAATGAGGAACACTATTATGATAGAACCCCTGGCCTTGACGGATGGAATTGAGAAGCATTTTTTTTTTTTTTAAGATTTTAGTCATTTATTTGAGAGAGAGAGAAAGAGCACAAGTGGAGGGAGGAGCAGTAGGAGAGGGACAAACACTGCCTGAGGAGCCCAAGATAGGGCTGGAGTCCAGGACCCTGAGATCATGACCTGAGTCAAAGTCAGATGCTTAGCGGACTGAGCCACCCAGGCACCCCAGAGAAGCATTTGTTCTTATCATTCCCTGGTCCAAGGTGACTCAAAGGTAGAAACTTTCCTGCCATTCTGGTTACACCGACCTGTGGGGTAACTGGATTCTGACAGGCACCTCAGGTAGCAGCCATGGTACAGAAGCCCAGGGCAATAGACACAAAATAAAAGTAGATACTGAGGTTAAGCAGCACACTGCACCTGTGTGAAAGCAGGTCAGAGCTCGGTGTGGAACAGTAGCTACAGTCAGAAGAGAGGCTAAGAGGATTCAGGAGTGAAGCACAGATGTCAGTTCAGAACCCCTCTGCTATAACCTGATCATGAGCCATCATTGGGAATATGCAGACCACGGGCTCATGCAGACCCAGCCCTTCTCCATATGCATGTGCTGTGTATTTATTATAACCACAGAGAGTTGCCAGGGAATTCTTTATCAGGTGATTAATCCCAAACCTCAGACTTCATTCAGTGGATATTTATTGAGCAGTGTCCCTATTCCTGATGCTGCATCCCCACTGGTCTGCCATGGTGAACAAAGTAGGAGACATGCTTGTCTTTGAGAAGTCGAACAAAGGATTACTGTTGAAAAAATTAATCTTTAATGAATGCAAGGAATTTGAATATGTAGTAGAAGAATTTTACCTTCTTTCACCTCACCCCCTGCCCTTCCCTTCAATGTAAAGGTGGGACTTCTCTTTCTCTCTGTTGCATGCATGAGCATAGAGAACGATTGGGCTGATACATCAGCTGTTCTATGTCAGTTACAAGCCTTATTATTTCAGAGTTCCTTTCCGTGGTGCAACCTCACTGCACGCCAAGGTGAACACCTGGCCCTCATTGCAACACCCCGTGGAAATTAGGGCATGAGGTGCTGGCACCAGGATGTTCTATGAGTAATGAATGCCTGTTTTCTGATCCAGAGGCACCTTGTTTCTTGTCAAAAATTATATATACATGAAACAATGAAATATACCATTATATATATATATATATGAATGAAATCATTCTTGGATATAAGGAAGAGATTCTGATTCTGTAAGGGACAGAGTGCTGATGGGCGTAGTGGACATATTAACCAAACCATATGGTCAACTGGGCAATATATGAAACTCTACTTTTTTTCCTTTAATGCAAGAAAGTGGTTGAAGGTGGTTAAAACAAGTAGCCTAAGTGAGATTTTGGTTTTTCTTTCCAAGTGGGGCAAGAACACGTCTACAGATACCCAAGTTAGTGTTGGGTTTGTGCAGAAAGAAAACATTAGAAGTTCATTGTTTGTGTTCCTCCTCAGGCTGGAGAACAGGTCAGGGAGTCCCAAGAGCTGGTATAGGGATTGTATGGGCTAAAACATCAAAAGTCTATGGAGGTTTTTTTGTTTTTGGTTTTGTTGGGTTTTGGTTATATTTTCTTTCCAGATAGGGAAACAGGTTAAGTAGTTCAAAAAGCTAATGGAGAGGTTTAGGTGGACTGAAAACTATAAATGTGTTACTCTCTTCCACCTTGAAGGTAAATATGACTTCTTGCTGGCTTGGAGACATCTTCCCTGCAACCCACCAATCCCCTGCTTCCTCTCTGCACTGACCTCAGCTGCTCCAAGAATTAGAGGTGGGGCCAAAGTCTCCTTGTCCCTAATAGAACTAAAGGCCCTACATATACTGAGGAACTCCAGAGGCAGGAAGGGATTGAACTCCTTATAGCTCTTTTGGATACTGGAGCCCAAGTCACCATCTTGCTCAGTACTGTATGAAAAAGTGATGCTGAGCAGAGGTGGCCAAAGCCAAGGACTCTAGAGTGGAAACCACAGTAACATGCGAGGGAGCAGAAATAAAGAGCTTCTGAGCCAGAGCACTTTCTAGACACTGAGAAGGACACAAATGAAGAACCAACGAGGACAAAAAGTTTCTCCAACAACTCCAGCCATCACCTCTAGTCTAACCCACCTGCCACTTCCTGTTTCCCTAACTCCCAGGTAGGAGGTAACACAGTGTCCTGCAAGAGTGATTGGATCCCTTGAGATGGTGAATTGAACTGATAACAGATCAGTTTGTAAGAAATTTTTTATCAGAAAATCATTCCTCAGCCTTCCATCTAATTTGACAGGTATTTATTGAGTGGTGACTTTCATTTTTTGGTGCTCTATCAGCATTGGCCTGCCATGGTGGACAAGGTAACATGACTGTCTTTGAGATGTTGGTTTACAAACGTCTCAGGAGCTTCCCGTGTCCTCTGAAACATACAAGGAGGGCAGGGGGAGGAAAGAAAGAGGCAGGCCTCTCCAGGTTGGTAGATGGCAGCTTTCCTAAGCAACGGAAACTTCCATAAGAGGCTTGTTTTGGACAGCAGCAAGATGAATGTATCCCTGCACCCACCTACCAAATCTTAAAAATCAAAACCTCAATGAGATACCACCTCACCCAGTCAGAATGGCTAAAATTAACAAGTCAGGAAACGACAGATGTTAGCGGGGATGCAGAGAAAGGGGAACCCTCCTACACTGTTGGTGGGAATGCAAGCTGGTGCAGCCACTCTGGAAAACAGTATGGAGGTTCCTCAAAAAGTTGAAAATAGAGCTACCATATGATCCAGCAATTGCACTACTGGGTATTTACCCCAAAGATACAAATGTAGGGATCCGATGGGGTACGGGCACCCTGATGTTTATAGCAGCAATGTCCACAATAGTCAAACTATGGAAAGAGCCAAGATGTCCATCGACAGATGAATGGATAAAGAAGAGGTGGTATATATATACAATGGAATATTATGCAGCCATCAAAAATAATGAGGTCTTGCCATTTGCAACAACGTCGATGGAACTGGAGGGTGTTATGCTGAGTGAAATAAGTCAAACAGAGAAAGACATGTATCATATGACCTCACTGATATGAGGAATTCTTAATTGCAGGAAACAAACTGAGGGTTGCTGGAGTGGGGGGTGGGGAGGGAGGGATGGGGTGACTGGGTGATAGACACTGGGGAGGGTATGTGCTCTGGTAAGCGCTGTGAATTGTGCAAGACTGTTGAGTCTCAGATCTGTACCTCTGAAACAAATAATGCAATATATGTTAAAAAAAAAAAAAGATGAAGAAGAAGAAGGTAGCGGGAGGGGAAGAATGAAGCGGGGGAAATGGGAGGGGTAGATGAACCATGAGAGATGATGGACTCTGAAAAACAAATTGAGGGTTCTAGAGGGGAGGGGGGTGGGAGGATGGGTTAGCCTGGTGGTGGGTATTGAGGAGGGCACATTCTGCATGGAGCACTGGGTGTTATGCACAAACAATGAATCATGGAACACTTCATCTAAAACTAATGATGTAATGTATGGGGATTAATATAAGAATAAAATAAATAAATAAATAAATTAATTAATTAATTAATTAATTAATTTTTTTAAAAAGGCCTTAACTGGATTTAGTCACATATACCATGTAGGTGTTTTCAATACCACATCCCTATCTCATTGGCAGCATCCTTGGAGTAGTCTCTCGGAGTGGGAAAGGCAAATGGAACCCATATTCCAAGGACAGAGGGATGGAGGTGGGGGTGAGGAGTCTCTGAGGGCCAGAATCCAGCTCATGGGTTAACTGGTGGTTACATCTTTTTTTTTTTTCACATCTTTTCGATGTGTTGCCCCAACAGATGTTTAACAAAGGACTATTATAAAAATATAATGTCTGAAAAAAGAAGGTAATTTGATTTGTGATAGATGAACTTTACCTTCAATTTGACTTTTTTCAAGTTTTATTGAAGTATAATTGACAAAATTTGTATATATTTAGGATATATAAAGTGATGTCTTGGTACCCATATGTATTATAAAATGATTACAACAATCAAGCTGTTAGCCCTTCCATCACCTCCCATAGTTACTGTTTTGTGAGTGTGTGTATGTGTGCGGTGAGAATACTTAAGACCTATACTCTCTTAGCAGATTTCAAGTATAAAATGTACTATTGACTACACTTGCAATATTGTACATTAGATCCCCAGAACTTATTCATCTTATAACTGAAAGTTTGTACCCTTTGACCAGCATCTCCCCATTTCCTCCAGTTTCCAGTC